AAAATGAGACATTATTATAGAATAATCTATGAAATAATTTTCAGTATTTTTTATATTAATATGTGCTTTAAAAGCTAAAGATCTTAGAAACTTCCTTTGAACGCTCTCCAATCCATCACTGTATACTTGATGAAATGAGAACCAGACAAAAGAGCAGTATTCAAGACCTGAGTGTACCAGAGAGCAATACAATAATTTGAATAGAATAGGTGAGAGATCACGACTATTACAATAAATAAAACCAAGATTACGAAATCCTGTTTCCTTAATTTTAAGAAAATGGCTTCTAAATGTGTGTACAATCCAGTAATACACCCAAATCTCTAATCTCGGTAACTGAATCCAAGAGTATATCATTAAGAACAATATATCTATTAGCTATTAGATTATATATAAGACCAAATGAAATACAAGAACATTTAGTTGGATTTAAGCTTAAACCATTTTGTTTTGACCATAAACATGTTGTTTACATCATCTTGCAGGAGATCCCTATCCGATTTATTATGTATACAATGAAATATCTTAATATATATTATAGGTTATATGCCAACAGGAGAAACAGAATGCATAGAACTAAAAGGAGAAATCCACCAAGGAGACTCGCTCAGCCCATTGTTATTTAATATGGCAATAAATCAAATAATTCACGAAGTAAGATACCACAAGGGAGCGCATAAAGTCACGATACTATGCTATGCCGATGATGCAGTACTAATTTTGATAAAGAAGATGTCCTACAAAGGCAGCTTCACACCTTCGATATCACAGCAAAAAAACTTAATATGAGAATATCAGTAGAAAAAACTAAATGTATAGTGATCAGTAAAGAGCTGCATAGATGCAAACTAGAAATAGGCGGCAAAATTGTATGAAATTCAATTAACTAGGAGTAGAGATCACTAGTTACAGGGATAAGAAGAGAGACCACAAGGCAAGCATCAAAAGCGGCAAGAGTAAGTGGTGGCCTCCAAGAAACCATATGGAGAAACAAATATCTGACCATGGAAAGCAAAATGAAAGTATAGAAGATAACAGTAAGACCAATCCTAACATATGCAGCAGAGACAAGACGATACAAGACGAAACAACAAATCAACAATATCGAAATGTAAGTATTAAGATCAATGGCAGGCATATCATTAAGAGACAGACAAACCAACAGAAGTATACGGGAACAATTCAAAATATAAACAGGTGGATAAAAACAAGGAAAAAAACTGGAACGAACATGTAAACTGAATGGGACCAGATAGATTAGCAAACATCTGTAAAAACAACAAGCCGTATAGCAGAAGACCCATTGGAAGGCCGCCAAAAATAAATAAATAGTTTATTAACGGTTATACCAATTACAATAATTAAATAAATCATATCATATTAACAGTTTTAGAATTCAATAATAATTAAATACAATTTACCAAGACAAATAAATAGAATAAATACCTAAATGACAGTTTACAGTGACAGCCTACATTGTATTTTAAAAAGATTTTTTATGCTTTTTTCGAAAACTATTCAGAGAGCTAGAAAAAAAGTCTACATCTAAACCATTTCCAGATTGACACATTCGTCTTATAGGTCTATTTAGACAATAGTTTGTTTGTTGGAATTCTAAGTGAAAAACAACCTTGGATCTTGTGCACCTTAAAGGAACCCTAAGACCTATTCTCTGCAAAATTTGAGGCGAATCTATCATTCTGTTTACAATCTTGAAAAGAAAAACCAAATCTAGCATTACACGATGATTTACTAATGTTGGTATATTAAGGAATTTTAAAATGTCACAATACAGTATATCTTAAGAAATCCCTAATTTATTGCCTAAAAAGTGCAAAAATTGTGTCTGAACTTTCTCAATGCTTTCAATATGACATTTATATAAAGGAGACCAAATAGTGCTGGAATATTCCAGAACTGATCTAACCATAGAACAATACACACTTTTTTAAAACAATCTAGGTTATTGAATTCTGACAAGGTTCTTTTCAAAAATCCAAGTAATTTAAAAGCTTTATTACAAATAAAATTATAGGTGGAAAGATAATGTACAGTCAACAATGACTGAAACAGAATAAGAGGCATACAAACAGTTGCATGAAGAAGTGTTAAATCCATCAGGATCTTTTAACATAACAGCATTTTTTATTTCTGAATTAGCTAAGTCAACAAAGTATCAGTGCAAAAGATAGAAGAGTGGCAATCTTCCCCACCAATAAACAAGTAAAATTGCTCATATAAAAGAAGGATCATACAAACGATTTGTGATCGAGGGTTTGAATTAATATCCTCGTTATTCATCAGATCTGTTCAGAAATGTTCATCCATGAAGATATAATAGAAGCTGTGGAATATTGGTGAGTAGAGAAAGAGAAAATTAAAGCCAGCAATGGAAAAGACAAAAACTGAGTTATATTGATTCATTAAATTTTCTCTGTATTAAGGATTAAATGAATGTTTACCTAGAAGTACACATAGTTGCAGCCAAAATGCCTGGTATAATTCTAGACAATGACAAACATCAAAAACTGTTAAAGCCTCCTTAGTAAATATTTTTGAAAAAAATTAGAACCTAATTTCAGTTCAATTTTTTTAAGAGTTACAAGATTACAAATATAAAACAAAAAAGTAAAAAGTATAAAAATTTATTTTAAAAATGGAAGGAAAAAAATAGAAAAAGCTGTAAAAAACACTTTTAGTAAATAAATATTAACAAAACCATCAATATTGCAATACTTTTATAAGATCATACTAAAATATTCTAAGCTACCTATTGAATGTATTGATTGATACACTAAATATGATGCAACAGGTGGTTGTTGGCAACAGCCAGACAAACCTGTGGATTCTAATTAAAATAGTTTTGTGAATTGATAGTTTATTTTAATAAAAAATAACAGTCACACATTTTATTTTTAATTTATTTGAACTAAATTCTTCAGTCACAAATTATTACATGGATAATTTCTTAGTAAATTCATATACTGCATATTTGAGTGTTTGTTATGCATATTTATTATATGTAGTTATATAAATTGACACAAAACATTCATAACACAACACAAAAAACAGGGATTCTTAAAATGATAACACAAAATTTTTTTATATAATATCTAAAAATACCAGGCGAAATCATTTAACCCATTTTTCTGTCATAATAACAAAAAGAAGTACATACTTGTAACATAATAACATTAATTGCTATATATAGGGTTAAAAATTGTAGGCTTTGACCAAACCTAAAATGCTAAGCTCAATACATGAAAAAGGAAAATATTTTATAATAAATCTATGAGAAAGAAAGGTTGGAAGATGGCTGGTAGGAAGATTTCATAGAACTTGTAAATTATGGATTTTAACAAAATGAAATTATATTTGTATACGCCAAAAATACACAGAAGAAAAGGATTTATGAAAATCTATGAAGAATTTGTTGGAAAATGACCAAGACAAGAACTGAGTAGTTTATATCACCCCATAAATAATGAAAATATTTGCATGCTGAATCTTTAGAGTTAACAAAAAAGTTATTAAACAGTTAAAAAAAAATACAAAAACAGATGTCTAGACTAGGCTCAACAAAATCCAGAAGTCAGTAAGTAGAAGGTAAAAGCATGTATTGCATCCTAATTATAATATAACACTGTTTATCGATAAAACAAGTTGGATATCAATAGGGAGACTATTACCTAATACACATGTTTAAAAAAGATGTTTCTTAAAGTTCTTAAAGTATATATTTGCTAGTTTCTCGCCTTAAAATTAAAAAAACACTCATTGGTGTGAACAATTAAATAAGTCATTTACTTAAATAAAACATTGTTTTTTAAACATGATTATGCCATCAAATCGATACAGTATGAATCATATTAAAATTTTTAAAAGAACTGAGTAATAAACTGTATTCTTACTTACTATAATTACTAGTATATTAGTAATCAAGTGGTCTATAAAGAAAGTTATGTATAAGTTTAAAACACAATCGTATAACACGAGAACTACAACACAATAAGCAATTAAAAAGGCATAATGCAGAAGCAATTAAGGCATTCCTGGCCCTCATTTTCTCTTGATTGAATTCGACGCTTCTGGTAAATAGATGCAGGAGCCCCTATAGACGAGTATGGATCTAGTCACGATTCACAAATTGCGTGGACTAGCGCCACACGCGCCAACACAGGGTTCTGATTTTCTTTCCATCTTCATTTCTTCTAAACAACTACAGTAGATAGCACGAAATTTTCTTAATGAGTGTGGATCTAGTCACGAATACAAAAAAACCGTGTTACTGGATCTCCACTCATTAAAAACCTTTCGAATTGGTCACCCCTTTGGAACAAAAGACGCTACATTCAAATTTCACCACAAACAAAAAACGTGCACGAATCTTTGACGAAAACAAAAAATTACTACACAGAAATGAAATCTAGCGAAAAGATAAGTGAATTACAGGGTTAATGATATTTAACCTTGTACACGGTTTCGTTAACAAACAAAATCTCAGTTAAAGGTTGTTTACACTACTTTGTTCCTCAACGACCGCGAAATGATATAAATTAAATTTACACACACTTCACAAATCGTCGAAATCAACACTGCAAACTGAATCAACAGGTTGCAAAAATACCGGCGCATAATTTTGCATTAAAACAAGCGAATTCTTAAAATAAAACCGATCACACTGAACACCGCACAAACAAAAGCCAAGCAGAGCGTCTTCTCCAGATTTAACAATGGCCGCTGAAGGATAAAATAGCCTTGAAAAGTTTCTGAGAAAACTTTTAAGTAACTGTGCGCAAGTGCAATACAAGACGGACGTTTTTATGACTATCTCTCTCACCGCGGCGACGAGATTCCATAGTAGAGGAAGATGCAACATCCGGTATCTTAATAACCATTCATGCGGGACGAGAAAGGCAGAAAAAATGGTGGTAAACTTTTATAAATCATAAGCCAACGTTCGTTTTTGACCGCAGGCGATTTGTTTTTTTGTTACTCACCTTTGGATGTTGTGGAGTCAACGCGGCAGATTCATTATGGTTTCGTCTTCTGTTATAAAAAATAAAATCAGGATAAATAAACAAAAAAACAACCAAAATAAAAATTACCTCTCTTCTATTATTTCATCGTTGGGTTTACTGATATTTAATTTATGTTCTTTTTTATGGAACTCTTTCCTTTCCATCTTTTCCACAAGTTCGATTGTTGGAAGTGCCCCATTGTAATTAGAGGCTGTGAATGCATACCATTGATCACAAAATTCCTCTGCTTCAAGATTATAAGCAACACATAATTCTAAACCTACAAAAACAATCGTTATGATTATAACCTACAATTGAATTCCATTGTACTTACATTTATTTAACACAGCATCAACTACTGCTATATTGAGTTCTTCAAAACAGGCACTAATTTCATCTTTTGTGACCATTTTTAATTTATTTTTTTTTTTTTTCTTCAAATAATTGAATGTTTCTATATTCTTTGGTTACACTACCTACCCATTCCAAATCAACCGAAACTTTGGCGCGAAAAGTAAAAACATGGATTAAATCATGATGCCAACTTGCCAACATAAACTATTCGGTTCTGGCCATGGCTACGCGTTAGGTGGTCGGATCAATAAGAAAATTCAAGAACAAGGTAATTCTTGAATACTACTTTTACATATATAAAATTGTTATTTCATATTAAAGCGAAGCTTCTATACTGGCGTTGTATTACTTTTTTTCTCTAAAGTAAAATGCTGAAGAGATCGTCACAGAACTAGCGCTACAGCGTCGTCACGAGTAGCGTCATAGAATAATGGTTCTTGACATCGATTCACTACTCTCGATCAATTCGTTTCTAAACATCATACATTTACTCTAAGCAGGTTTTTTTATTTAATAATATTTATATTGTTAGACAATTTATGTATTGTAATTATATTACAGATTGTAAATATATTGACATGCTGAATAAAAAAAATAATTAAAAAGCAGGTTTAAATTAAAAATTGTATGAAAATAACTGACAAAATATAGACAAGAAATAAGAAGTCAAAAAATATCTGCCACTAAAAGATTCGATTCGTAACGATTGTCAAATGATATTTAAGGAGGAAATTTTCATAACCCCACATGTGCAAAAATAAGTGATGTTTCTAATTCGTCATTTTAAAATGCATTGCCTGTCATGTTTATTGTCGATCCAAAAACCCACATTTCCAGTTGTAATATTAATTTAAAATGAGGTGTTTAAGCAAAACCCCACATCTAATGTGCGGCAGTTATAGCAAAACCCCACATTTTCTATTCAGCCATAGAGGAGTAAGTATTCCAATCACGTGACTTAAATACATGGTTTTAATTTGATTGTTATTGTTGACAGTACACAATCTTAACAGGTTAGTTTTAGAGGAAAATTATAATTTAATATTGGTTTGTGCTTAAATGAGTGAAATTATGAGTTTAAATGAGGAAAAATTTAGATAGTGGATTAGTATTAGTTGGAAGAATAGGTTCTGGATCACTAAAAAGACAATAGACAGTTACAAAGCCTAAACTTCTTAAGGAAAAGAGATACGCTGCTCCTGTTGGTGGTTGTGTATTCACAGGTCGCTTACATGAAGGTAAAGCTTTTAAATGTTATGAAGTTCGGCCTAGCGATGCCGGTGCATTTCGGAAGACACTTTATTCGAAACCCGAAAAACTGTTTCAGTACCAATTAGTTGGGAGGTTCATAATAACGAAAAACGTTTAACGTCGGAGGTCCCTACAATCTTGCTTAGGCCTAGGTTTACAACAAGCAAAATCCAAACCAAAATCGACTTCCGTTACCTACCGATTTCCTCTTACTTCTGGGGGTAGCGTAACTGTGTGTAAATCTTTGTTTTTGTACCTTACTCAGTTTACATCAGAAAGAGTTCGACGACTTGTATCAAAACTAAAAACTAACCAAGGACTAAAAGCAAACATAGTTGGTGATAGAATAAGCCAAAGATAACTAGTTAAGAAGGAGGCGGTTAGCCAGTTTATTGGAAATTTAAAAGGTACTGAAAGTCACTACAACAGCAACAAATCAAAAAGAGTATATTTAAGTAGTGATCTTTCAATACAAAAACTTCACATGATTTATAATGCTAGTGCAGAAAATACCCAACTCCAAGTAAAGTTATCAATGTTTCGTAAAATATTCTGCGGAGAGTTTCAATGTTGGTTTCAAATCTCCGGCATCTGACATCTGTGGGTACTGTGTCATGATGGACTATAAAATTAAAAATGCTACAGGAACTCAAAAGCAGATACTTTTTACTGAAAAAAGAATATACAAAAAAGAATGAAGTGTTTCGATGGCTTAATGAAAGAAACCAAAGAAAAAGAGAAAACTTTATGCTTTGACATGCAGCAGATGCAACCACTTCCTGGAAGGCCTATTCAACAGGCTTTTTATGCCAGACAATTAAGTCTTTAAAATGTTTGTGTAACAGATATTAAAAATGACAACAGCCCATACTTTTATATTTGGACCGATGAGCAAGCAGGGCGCGGTTCAACCAAAGTAGCTTCTGCTCTTCTTAGTTATCTTCATTATCTTCAATCAGATAACCTTACAGATGTGATCCACCTGAGATTGTTTTGTGATGGATGTACAGGTAAGAACAAAAACAATCATCAGCTTTATACTTTAATGTACTTTATAGCAGCCCACGATGGCACCTTGACACATATTACTATTAATTTCCCTGTCGGGTGCCATTCTTTTTTACCAGCCGATAGGGTTTTTGAAGAGCCGAGAAATTGTTGCGGAAGAAACCTGCTCTTATTGATAAGGAAGAGTACCTTGAAAAGTTGGAACTGTGAAGGCACTTGAAACAGATTGGTCTCTGAAGGATGTACGGTCACTTGCTAATATTTATTTAAAACACTACCTAAAATCAGTGACACAAAAAGAATTTTCATTGAGAAAGTTGTGACAAAGAAAAAATTACAGGTATGGGTTAAAGGCAATGAATTCTATCAGTTTGAACCAGAGCTACACAAATGCAGCCTTCTAAAGCAACACAGTACTTGGAAAAGATACTGGAAAATCCTCTTGAAGAAATTCATTTAGTTCATCCCGTAAGCGCAGCAAAAAAGAAGGATGTGAACGAACTTTTACTATTCTTTTTGATGCAAACTGAGGAGGAAGTTTTTTGTGACTGTTTAGAAGAAGACTGTGCCCATCACTTGTAATACCTAGACTATTATTTAAAGGTTTCACTCTATTTTTCATTAAAACATAAGGTTTCACTGTAATATTGTGAAAAAGGGTAACTATTTTATTATAATAAATAAAATTTTATTTTTCATATTTTGAAGAACATATTTTTTACTTCGCTTACTAGTTTGTCCAATACTGAGTCCAAACCTACACTAAAATAAATAATCTTATGCTAAACTATAAGTAAGTAGGTAAACTATATAGTAAGTTGATTTGATCAAAAAACCACATATCCAATCCTGTTATGTTCATAACCCCACATGTGACATGTGTTTCATGCATAACCCTACATCTAACGACTTTTATATTATATTTTTAATTCGTTATACCACTTTCTACACAAGTAAGTAGTTTTCTATGTGTTTTCTACATTTTAGTTTTTCTTCGATGTCTATTATTATATTGTTATGTCTTAACTTTTTCTGAATATTGAATTCATATTTTTGTTGTAGCCCTTTATTTTTTCTCACTTTATTTTATAAAAATTGTATTTGGTCACTCTTATTTTACTGCGTATTTGGTGCTTTATTGCTTTGTATTGTGTGTATATACCTTTACATTCTACGTCATTCCGTCATTCTTTTATTCATGAGTTGCATGATTTCATCACTCATCCCTTCTTGTTTTGCTATTTTATTCTTCTCTATTTACTTTAAAGGTTCCTTCATGGCTAATTTGAAGTCGTGCAATCTTTGTAATTATGAATAATGTAATGAGATATACAATTCAAATATGCATAAAAAGATGATTTTAAAATTAAAAACTAATATTGTCGGTTGATTAGCCACCGATATTTTCACATGTTATTTTTATTTATACACAATACCTAGAAAAAATATCTTTGTAGTTGGAAATATTTTGACATTTTGTACATTTTAATATGAAAAATTAATTAGAAAACCTAAATTTTATAAAAATTTGGCTTTTTATTTGAAAAACTTTAATGCCAACTTTCCAGAATTTATTATTAAATCCAGTGTCTCTCTCATGAACATCCAAGCTAGGTATTTTTCATCTTTATTTAACTTGACGTTTAAAATTTGACTGCGGACATCATTCTAACCTAACCTACAAATAAATTTCAAATATGAGTTAAAATAAATAAAAATGATTTTGATTAATAACTTCTTCATTCGACACGCTAATAAGTTAATAAAACAAGCATACTGTACAAATGTACAACTATTTACATTTTTGTAAAACAATTTTCTTATATATAACAATTTTCAGATAAGTAGTTTGTCAAAAGTTGAAAGAATTAAATTCCTAAGGAAAATGGCCCGACCTAATTCAAGGGAAAACCCGGTAATAATGAAACTAGACTCTCAAGAGTTCCACTCTATATTCAACGACGAATTACGGTCTTTAGTATCGTTGTTTAAAGAGTATGGCTACGAAATTCGAATTGCAGGTGGAGCAGTAAGGGATCTTTTAATGGGAAAACAACCCAAAGATTTAGATTTTGCTACTACAGCCACTCCGACCCAGATGAAAGAAATGTTCGTATCTGAAAATGTACGAATGATAAACGCCAATGGAGAAAAACATGGCACTATCACACCTAGAATAAATGATAAAGAAAATTTCGAGGCAGGTATTTCTATTTTGTGCTTAGTAGCTTTTCTTAGCGAAACATAGTTTTTAACTTTCCAATGTATTAAAATTGCAGAGACCAATTTCTGTAAAGTAAGATTTATTATTTAAAATCTTCTAGGTAACTACTTTAAGGATAGATGTGGTAACTGATGGTAGGCATGCAGAAGTACAGTTTACAACAGATTGGATGCTAGATGCATTGAGAAGAGACTTGACAATCAATTCAATGTTTCTAGGTCTAGATGGTTCTATTTATGATTACTTTTATGGACATGATGATCTTCAAAAACGAAGGATAGCTTTTGTGGGGGATGCTGTAACTAGGATACAGGAGGATTATTTGAGGATTTTGAGATACTTCAGGTAGTATTATGAGAAATATTTAAGGTTTTACACTTATTTAAAAAACCAACTTTTTCTTCTCATCTACAGAACTAGTATTTTTGGGTTCCAGATTTTATGGTAGGATTGCCTTAGAACCAAACAATCATGAAGAAGGGACACTTAAAGCTATTAGGGATAATGTTCATGGTTTAGAGAATATTTCTGGAGAGAGAATTTGGATGGAGCTGAAAAAAATTCTCGAAGGAAATTTTGCTGGGGATTTGATGAAAATAATGCTTGAAAATGGTCTGGCTCTATACATAGGTATGTACTTTTGCTCTTTGGTGGGGTGGGTGCCCATTTATGAGCCCTTCAGACACTTAGACCTAATAAAACAGGTCCATTGTATCACCCCTATCATACACACTAAGCCCATAAGGACCTGGTTTGGTGTTCTCCAGCCTGTTCCGGGCCCCATATCTGCTAATTTTTATCATAGTAAAGGTCACATTATGACAAAAAAAAACTTGGTAAACTAGTTGTTTGGCAGCTTTTACTACTTGCCTACTGTTGTTTGTTATTTTTTGTATTTTAGACCAAAGAGAAGTAGATCTGTTTTTTTCAAATTCAATTGGGTTCATTCTTACTTCATTGGGAACCTATCTATGTACTAAATTTCAAGGCTCAAGTACTTTACTTCCTTTCCTTAAAAAAAATACATCAACATATAAAACAAAAAAGAGCCTTTGACCTCAAATTCACTAGGATTCATCTTTATATCAAAAATATAATAAAAAATATATCAAAAACATAATAATAATAAAAAAGAAGTTAAAGGTTTATTAGTATTGTATTGATATTATAATGAACTATAAATATGCAAAAGGTACTACCTGTTGGTTTGGCTTGGTATTAAAAAACCAAATTTTTTCATGGACAGATCAAAATAATTTGGCAATTATATAATAGGAAATATTATTGAATTTGTTTTTTTTTCTATTCTGAATGATCTTAATATACACTTCATATAGTTTTCGGTTGTTTTCAGATTGTAAGATAAACTGTTTTCAGAGTCACATCATTAAATAAATTGAGTTCCAAATCAGATTAGAGGCCATCTCTATTGGTTATGGATATTATTGAACATACATTTGTAATTTTTGGTCAATATTTCAATGTTTGAAGTATTCATTATTTATAATTTAAGTTTTTTCTTTGTGATTGTTTTATCTGATATATTTTTTTTTTTACAAAAATTTACCCTGCCACTTTTTAGGGTTACCAGAAAAACCGAATCTTGACGAAATGAAACGAGTGTGGGAACAAAGTGGTCATCTTAATTTAAATGCAATCACATTGCTTGCATCCCTTTTAAATACGGTTGAAGATGCCATTGATTTACATTCAAGACTGAAATTATCAGCATTTGAAAGGGATTTGGCTGTCTATATTGTGGAAAACAGAGCTCCAAAATTACATCCGAAACCTTTAATGCCATTCCAACAACAGATATTGAAGTCTATGTCAAAACCGACAAATACTCAAAAAATGGCTGTAGAAGTGTTAAAATATAACAATTCGTCCTACTGGGAAGAGCTTGAGAAATGGGAAATTCCTAAATTTCCAGTAAGTGGGAATGTGTTGAAGGAAAGAGGAGTCGAAGGGGGTAGAATGATGGGCCAAGTTTTGAATGAGTTGAAACATTTTTGGGCAGACCATGATTTTAGCTTATCTGTGGATGAAATTTTAAAAGAACTACCGAGAGTTTTAAATACTATAGCAGAAAAAAAGAAAAAGAAGTAAATATTTATTGTTTTTTTTTTAAATAAATTTAACAAGTGTATAAAGATTTTTAATAAAATTTGTTTTAAAAGTATTTCTGTTAGTTTTTAATACAGCTGAAAGTTCGGAAGTAAGTGTGACAGTATGCTCAAACAATGGTTGTGGAGGGTTTAAATTATAATAGCTCCATCGTATCAAAGAATATAGATGCTTATAGAAGAACAGTTCAAATGGGCGATTTGGTTACGGTTTAAACTTCAAAACACTCTTAGAAGTCGCCTTAAAACTATTATGAAAGATGTAGTTAGGGGGAAGTGGGAAAGGAGTATGAAAGGAGTTATTTATTTAACTTTGCATCTACGCCTAAACAAATTTCGATGCTTTTTTTGTTTTTTTTCACAATAAAATCTTTATTTTTAATATATTAAATTGTTAAATTTTTAATTTTGAAACTAAAAAGGTATGATATTTACAATATTCAAAGTATTTATTTTTTTAATTTTATAACTTTGAATTAAAAATAATAGGTTTGTTCCAACATAACGAAAAACAGTCACCTAAATTTTTATTATACTGTTTTTCTGTCCAAAAATTAACTAAAATTTTTTTAAAAATTTCAAAATTTTTCAACCAAAAATTTAATTTTCTCAGGACTTTTCATTAAACTTTTTAGACAATTTTCCACTTACACTTGTACGATGTTTACCGACAAAATACCGATTCTTTGTCAGTGAACGAGAGGTAAAGTGAGAAAAGATTCGTCTGCTGACCAGATGTACTTAAGAATACACTCTTGAATGGAAGTAGGTACATTTGGTATATAATAAAATTTTAAAAGCATCTGATAAACAATAAAATGTGAAATAAAAATGTTTGGAATATAAATAGTTTGCAAACAGAAATAGTTATTTTAAAATTATTTTCTTCTAAGAAATATGAAATTAGGTGAAATGTATCAAATTAAATATATTCTGCAGAAAAAAACAGTGTTGTGTTTTACATTTTATGTTATATTAAAAACAAAGAAGAAATAATTAAATTTAGAAACTTTGGAAATAATTAACGATATAATCATTCGAATTCATCATTATCATCATTCTGGCTTTCCCTGCTTGGTTCCTAGCCTCCTCAAGAACTTCTTTCCAGTCGTTCCTATCCATCGCGTTTCTCCGCCCAGCACATATTGCCATATTTAATCTTCCTCTTTTAGTTCTGGGTCTTCCTCTTCTTCTGGGACTAATGGGTCTTTCAAGGACCCAAGGTCTTTACTGTCGTTCAGTCTGTTGAACAGAGATAACCAGTCTTCTGTGTTGAGGGCTTGATTTTGCCTCTTTAGACGGGTCCTAATAGTTTCTTCAAGTTTTTTCTTGGGGACGCGGGTGAGGACCATGGGTCGCTTGGGCATATTATTTGGAACAATTATATTTAAGTTTACTTCCTCCCACAGGCTCTCAATAGTGTTCACCACTTCAGTCGTCCATTTTTTTGTATACTTGTTAACACAGTTCACCCACAGGGTCCCTTCGCTAAACGATGTTTTATGGAACTGCAGAAGTTCATTTTTACCTCAGATAGGAGCCTCATCAAGTGCTTGCTCCAGTTTGTTAACGATCAAATTTGCTTTAGTCCGATCTAGTATCAGGATGGTGCGTGTGTGTTACCACCATTCTGAATTCTTTTGTCAGGGTGCTTTATGACCTAGTCTGCTCCTTGGTTTCTTAGCAACTCTGTCACGAGGGGGGGGGGCGATGGTATTCTCACGAAAACTCTTTTTATCTTCGGGTGTTGCCGATTTGGATTTCTTAGGATTTGCTATGGTCTATGTCCCAGCAGACATTTTTGCTTTTTTCTTATCTTCCTTTGTTGAGCTCTAGTGAGGCGTTATTTGAGACTTACTTATTTTTTTTTTTATTTAAAAATCCGAAATTATACTTCACAATTTCGAATTTTCAAATTGTAAAAAAATAATTATTTGGTGTATATTCTAAGAAGCAATTCTAGCATACTAACAAGATCAGGAATTGTTTTTTGATCGAAACATTCTACTTCGTTACCTAGTTTAACATTCATTTCTTGTGCCATCCTAGCGACTGACATGGCTGCTGCTCGTCTTGGTTGAGTACAACCAATCTTCTTCCCATCTTCGGTGAAACCAGCTTCATATAAATACTGCGGAATTTGTGTAGTTTTACCGGAGCCGGTTTCACCTTCAATAATTAAAACTTGATGTTCCCTAATGGCCTGTATTAAATCGTCCTTAAAAGGGTATATCGGAAGGCTTTTCTTTGTTTTTTGAGCTTTATCTCCCGGTGATGACTTTATTGATTGAATTAATTTTATTTACAGTTTACAAGAAGAGTTTTAATTATATTATTTGTAAATTTGTACATATTTAAATTAAAAATTTGAATCATTATATTTTTTCTAAAAAGATTCATTTATTAAAAGTTAAAATATTAATATTTTCTTTAAAAATTTTTATAAAATGCTATTCTACGGCCACGCGGCATCTACATATAAAAATACCTGTGTATTTGTTGCCCCACTCTTTCATATTTTAAAAGCAATAATAGTGTTGTGATGACCTCTCCCTAGTGGTACTAAAATCTCGATCCACTCTCTTATTCTTTTTCATAACGTGCGATCAACCTTTGCCGACTTTCAAAAGCAACAGTGAAAAATTCTTCTATAAGCATCTATATTCTTTGGTCGTATTGCCAAGAGTAGTAAAATGGGAAATACTTAAATTTCCAGTAAGTGGGAATGTGTTAAAGGAGGTAGAGAGAGGACAAGTTTTTTTGGGCAGATCGTGACTTTCATTTATCTGTGGATGAGATTTTTATAGAATTCCCAAGAGTTGTAAATACTTTGGCAGAAGGAAAGAAAAATAACTATTTTTAAATAAATTTTACAAATTTAAAAATATTTTTAATAAATTTTGTTTAAAAACTTTTTCAATTAGTTTTTAATAGAGGTGAGTGGTCATAAATATGCTCGCTCCACAGTAGAAATCAAACAAATTTAATTTATCATCCATCACTGGAATTTGAGATAACGATGCCCCAATAATAGTGGTTTGGTTAGTGATGGTTTCTATAGGGACTTTAAGTCGGCTGACTATGTGAAAATAACTGATTTTTTATCACAGTTCTGTTGGGATAAATCATTTTTAGGAAAACCACTAAATCGAATTGTGAATATTTTTTATGATATAGTTTTTTAGCTATAGAATTATTTATCCTCCTAAAAAGGTATTCAAAACGTAGATTCCCTTCTTGGTTCTCACCAGAGTTAAAGGACCTGATAGTTGAGAAAAAGAAAGCTCACAAAAAATATCTTTTATCTAAAGCACTTCTGGATTATCGAACTTTTTCTCAGCTGAGGGCCAATTGTAAATTGTTAAAAGCTGAAGGGTACAGAAATCATATTTATTAAAAGAATTATCACTAGGAAATAATTTAAAGGGATTTTGGTCGTTTCTGAATTCCCCGAGGGCAAAGCCTTGCCTGCTATGTTTAGTTATGGTGGTGTTCAATCCAGTCACGGACCAGATATTGTAAATCTTTTTCTACAGTCTATTCCACTCAAATATGTGACATACCCAGTGATTCACCTTCACTTGATCTTACTAACTTGACTGGTTTGAACATAACTATATCTGATATTTATTTAAAATTATCAGAACTGGATGTGAATAAGGGCCCCGGTACTGATGGATTGCCTCCCAGCTTTCTCAAGAATTGTTGTTTTATATTATCCAAACCTCTGTTTCACATTTTTAATCTATCTTTAAATAAGGGTGAATTTCCAGAATGCTGGAAAAATAGTTTTTTAACACCTATTTTTTAAGCGAGAGATAATTAAAGACTATCTTAAAGCTTCACTTAAAAAACAGCTAGTAGACCAACAATTTGGATTTCGGAATAGCAGATCAACTGAATGTAATATACTATTGTTTGTGGCCTTCCTGAGGAAGGCCATGGAGAGGGGCTGTAGGGTACATGCACTATACACTAATTTCTCCAAGGCCTTTAATCGAATCAACCATAATATTTTAACACTTTAACTTAAAAAAATGAGTGTTGATGGGCCACTTCTTAGATGGCTGAGAATATACGTGATTGGCCGAGTTCAGATGGTGCTTATCAGAGATTTTGTTTCCAGTGAGATTAAAGTTCATTCAGGAGTACCACAGGGTTCTCATTTGGGACCCCTGATATTTAACATATTCATCAATTATATACACCACTGCTTCCAGCACAGTTCACCTCTTCTTTTTGCGGACGATCTAAAGTTCTACACAAATATCAATAATACAGAAGATTGTGTTAATCTTCAACACGATCTCGATCGGGTGAGTGGTGTGTGTTGAATGCCATGGCCCTGAATGCATTCAAGAGTCATGCTGTTTCTTTTGGATGATCGAGAGACCCAATGGAATATAATTAAAATATACCGAAATTCGTGATCTGGGAATTAATTTACACTCTTAAACTTTTATTTGAACCGCATTATATGTCAATAATTTCCAAGTCATTACAAATGATTGGCTTTATAAAAAGATTCACTGGAGACTTTTCAGAATACTGAAGCGATTAAATTACTATATTGTTGTTTAGTCAGACCCCATCTAGAGTATTTTCTTTGTGTATGGTCTCCATCTTATAATATTTACATATCAATAATTGAGACAGTTCAACACAAGTTCTTGAAATATGTAGCATATAAACAGGGTATACCTTTTGAATTAAATCAAGTAAATTATGATCGAATTGAAACCCAACTTGGTATTCTCTCATTGTATGACCGACGATTAATTAAAGATACAAAGATGCTTTATGGTATAATTAATTCTGCAGTCTTGTGTCCTCCGCTATTTGAGCAGGTTGGTCTGCACGTAGAACACGATTAAACCAAACTTTTTATGTTCCTCTTCGCAGAACCAACTATGCATATAATAGATTTTTATCTCGAGCACTAAGATTGGTAAATATTCACCCAGATCCAGTTTTTTTTTGCACCGAAGGCCGAATTAAATTATAATAACTATTATTAACTGATATTAAAAATATAAATATAAGAAAATAAATAAAT